ACACACATATATATAAAATCGAGTTCTATGCTAGAAGCTAAGAGAAGAGTGGTTTATGATCTGTGTACTTCTACCCCCTCAAAATATCTAAAAGATACTGAAAACATTTATTGAGATACTTCCCACATTTTGTTCTAGGTAGTAGAAGAGTTATAACAATGGATAAAAATGAAACTATATGTAATAGCTGAGATTAATGTTACATGAAGAATAAAATAACAATAAAAATGTAGCACTCAATACGCCTAGTTAGAATTCTTTAAGGAAAACATTTACCTCATTTTCTTACTCTGGGATTCAGATGCCTGGTATCAGTAATTTTGTATAAAAATACACAGAGGAGGATTTTTAACTCTGAATGTTATGAAATAACAGATGCATTTGTTATGATTGAACTAATACACCAATATTAGAACTATATACAATTACTATACACAGTAACATGCAAAATAATTGAAAGGATAATAATTATGAAAGAGTTTTGTTGCTTACTTACTAAAGAAACTGTAAACTCTTGATCTCAGATGTTAAGAGCATAGATCTAATCTGTGTGTCCCTTGTTTCTTGTCTCACGTTCTAGTTTTTCCTGGAATGTCTGTGTCTTGCTTTAGAACCCTAATTACTAAATCAAAGTCTTTGCTTGTCCACTTTTTTTAAAAAACACCATCTTTGGTGAATTTGCTTCCTTTCAATACACTCAGCAAAATTTAGGCTTCAAACTGAGTCTTTCTGTCCTGCTTCTCCCCTCCATCAAAACTGTGTGGAGATTGAACGGCTGCTATGTTCATGATTGTGGAAGAACTGCCTTCATTGGGAAGAACTACATTCTACATGGAACAGGAGATGCATACAGATTCCTACCGATATAGACCCATGACGTTTCTTGTACAATGCCTAAATATGTGTCTCCAACATTAAGTTGTAGAGAATTTGCTAGTTAATTACTTAATAATGCCCAGTAGTCTGTAGTTTGCATCATGGTTATATGAAAAAATATGCAACAACACACACATGCAAAAAAAAAAAGGGGGGGGGAGGGAACTAAATGTTAATGGCTATTCTCTTTTGATGATAGAATTATAAACTATATTTTTTCTCATATCTTTTCTAGGCTTTTATGTGTTCTATAATAAGTACAGTTGCTTTTGTAAAGACAATGCAATAAAACATTACTGTTTAATATCATGTACGAAGAGAAAGGGACAATGTACTATTGAGAAGAACAATAATATCTTAAAAACTAAGTAACCAGGAAAGGAAGGTTCTAAAACCTGACTTGGACCTTAAAAATGAAATAGATCAGAAAAAAATGAGAGAAGCAGGGACAAAGACTTCAAAATAGACAAAGAAAGTGGACAGAATTTACTTAGGAGATAATCTTTATTTATGTGTTCCCTCTTAGAATTTTTCTGATGTTACATCTACCCATATGATTAAAATATATCAACAAGTACTCTCTAATCAGTGATGCTAAATATAGTTGTGTGTTGTCCTTGGGCTATGTATGTGGCTGAACCACAGCAATTGAAAATGCCTCTTTTAAAATATTGGTATTTGATTGTTCTGTGATGCATCCAGGATTGTTTCTTCCTTTTGGAGGTGAAAAGAAAATTGCTCAGTGTATTGCTTTAAATGAAGAGAATAATACTTGCCCTGTGCACTCTGTATAGAAGAGGGAATACTAGTAGGATTACCTTTAATTTCTAAAGAAATGCTCAGTACCATCATTCTAAAGTGAACACCACATATCTGTTTTTCTCAGCACAGAAAATTCAAATAACTAACAGTGTTGATCCAACTTAGAATTCAAGGGCACCTAAGAAATTGTGAGACCACGTAGTCAAAATTTTTTCTGCAACTCCTCCAACTTATTTTATAATATCTATATCTATCTAGGGATTCTACTTAATATTTTACTTGAAAAAGTATTCCTTTATTCATTTTTACCTGCATGTCTTTCTCTACATCTGTCCCATTTATCCAGAGTTCTCTTTCTTTTCATTCTACCCAACCTTTAAACTACCCTTCAAATCCCACTCCCTCAATAAAGTCTTTTCAGTTATGGCTACTCATGCTGATCTGCATCTCTCTAACAAATATCTGAGTTTGTCACTATCAACCATATGGCTTTTGGCTGTCTACTGTGTGTAGTTTTGTTTCCCTTTACAGTATCACACATGGCCTCTGAGTTCTTACTTATACATTTTCCATACAGCATCTAACTCAATATAGTGAAATCTGTCTAGTTAATGTTCACAATACTAATGTGGGTTTGTGCCATCTTTGACACAGTGTCTCTTCCCTGCCCTCAGATTCTGAAAACCTAGGAAAGTGCTAGGCACACATAAATATTTATACATAATTAGGTTGTTTAATTTAGAGCTATCTTATCCTTATCAGTATAGGTCATTATATTACTCAATAACAAGATATGTGTCTATTCAGAAAAGTCAGTCTTATTCATTGTTATTTTGTAACAAAAGACTTTGGATTTACTTATATAACTGTTTTAACAAATGACAACTCCATTTTACCAAAGCTTTAAGAATATGATCAGTAATTGTAATTTATTTTTTAAAGGTCCCCCTGGACCCCCAGGTGAAAAAGGAGATAGAGGTCTCACTGGAGAAGATGGTCCACGAGGCTTTCCAGGTCCAATCGGTATGGTAATAGGCACTATTTAATCACATACTACAAGGCTAGGTAATACACATGCATGTATGTGTGAGGAAAGAGCTATTTGATAATGTTCTGTGTGTGTGTGTGTGTGTTTGTGTGTATGTGTGTGTTTTGAGGGGGAGATTACCTGTTCCAGCAGCCTAATCAATATAATGTACTGAATGGTAAGCACTGACTCTTGGTTTCTGAAGAAAGAGAAATGCTTAATCCAGAGCAACAATGTAGGGGGCGCTATCTATATCATGGACTGACTGCAAACAGTATGTGGAAGACCCAGCTTTAGGTCACTTGGAAGAGAATATAAAAATCATCTTCACGTTGAAAATATTTGCAAGTTATCTGGTTTTTAAGATACAAAAAAAAAAAAAAAAAAAACCAACCACCAATATGAGTCAAAGGGAAATTGGATTACATACCTTATATAGTCCTTACTTAACTGGAATATATCTGCCTAAACCTAAGAAATATGAATGTAAAGATTGACTAGAATGCAGTTGACTTTTACCTTTGCTGTCAGCCATTCTATGTATTTTGCTTAGAGCAAATTGTTTCAAATTATATTCCTCTATATTGTAATCTTGAAAGCAATATTTTAAAATAAGATAATAGAAGGCAGAAAAGAAGAAAGAGCATGAAATTTCTTTGCTCTCAAGAAAATTAAAAAGGCAATAAAAAAAAGACAATGATCGTCATGTTATTCTTAGCTAGAAATCAAATACTTCTCATGCTTTTTGAAAGCGGGGTGTATATTGCATGGTCTAATTATAACTAGAATGGTTTGTGCTGACAAAAAAAATGTGTAAATACCATGAACTTCATCTTATTTTTCTGTCTTTTGATTATATAAAATGTTCTTTCTGATTAATGTATTGGCTAGCCCAGGTTACATCAAAAAAACAATTTTTAAAAATGAAAAGTGTGAATTTTATACCAGCTATCCTTGACATCATTGTACTTAAAAGCCAATATATAAAGTTTACATTATTTTTTTAAAGTTATTTTAAATAAACATATACCTATTTTGTATATATCTGGTGGGTTGTTTTTGTGCCTTTGAAAGTACTGCCAGTTAAGATTCTTTATTCATGAAAGTCTTTTTCTACTGACTAGCATTTGGCAGATCTTAATAATAGTGTGTTAACATCATAAGCAAGTGAAGTAACCAGTATTATACCAGCTGCCAGAGTTGCTATTGTCAATGGTCTGTCAGCTCCTCTATTACAAACTACAATTGTCTAAGCTTTATAATGCAGCCACAGCAATTCAGACTGGGCCACAACTTGCCATACAAAGCTTCGTCTTGGGAGAATCTTTTGCAGCTATTTCTGAACTATGGATGTATGAAATAGAAAGAGGGATTTAAAAGTTTTAGCTTTTGTTGATACCATAAACAGATGCCGTTGCAAAGCTGCCTTGAGTCTTGTATTGAGGGTTTTGCCTGTTGCTGTTAGTACTGCTCATGACACAACTAGGCATTATCCAGGCCTTTGTAACAGAGAGGTGATAAATCGACTCTAGATTATGAAGTTGCCATTTTTTGGTGTACTGCAGAAAAAAGTATTCAAGTTATCAGACATCTCTCCTCATGGATTCTTCCCTACTTAATTGCTGCATTCTGTTTTGTTCTCTGCCAGATTGCCTAACTGCCCCGTATTAGATACTAAAATCAGGAGGTTAAGAGTATATGATAGACCAACGTGAAAATTCCACTTCCCGAATCGAACAAGTTTATTAAAGCCCTACCTATACGTCCAAGCGAACCCACCAAACTCAGCCTGACAAAGTCAAAGTCACCTAGACTCACAACCATGATATGAAAATCTGAGAAACTTAAGTGATTATGCTAGTGGTCTTAAGTAACCAATACTATTACAATTCTTACTCATGTACTGGGTGAATATTATGAATATTATGTTAAAATATGCTTGACCGCAAAACAATATAACAGAAATTTATTTCAGAGTGTCATTTCCTTGGAAGTACACCAGGCGGAATGAACTATTATCTTTTACTTGAAAGAATGTTTATTCTATTTTTTTAAGTTAGTTAATTAATTAATTAATTAAATTTATTTTTAACATGATGATATTGGTTAACGAAATCCAGTAAGTTGCAGGTGTACAATTCAACAGTAAGGTATATATATATATTGTATTGTGTGTTCACTGCCCATAGTTAGATTTCTTTCTGTCACAACATATTTGACCCTTTGAGGACTTTCCCTGTGCCTAGTGCTCTACCACAAACTCTGGATCCTGTGCACAGAAATATAGAGTTTCTGTCTTCACAGAACTTACAGTATGATAAGTAATTATACAAGGATGATGAATGTCATGATCAGAAATTCTTGATCTCATCTGAGATACTTTGGGGCCACTTTTAGGGTTATTCCACCATGATAGCAATGCTTTAAAGAAAGAATACCTCCTTAGTTCCTAAAGAAATTGTCTTGCCATTTAATGTGCAGTTTCTGCCCATTGGGATCACAAGGTAGCCTGACCTGTAGGCACAGGAGGAACTACCTTCATAAGATGCCTTGAGAGAGAACCAAAGACTCCTCTGGTTACAAAATTTTCATCATCAACCAGTGCTGTTTACTTTTCATATATAGCCTGAATTTTCCACCATATGAATCATGCCTCTGGAGGAGACATAAAGTCCATTCTAACTGTGGATATTGGAAGACAGGAATCATATTTTATTAGTCTTTATATCCATGCGTGTCTTTATCCCACCCCACCCCTACTCCCAGTCTGACCTAGAAAGGCTTCTCTCCCCAGGCTTTATGAAGGATAGCACTTGTTAAAATATACATTCGAGTAAGGAATATTGTACCAATGAATCCAAAAATGTCACTGCTGATTATGTACATGCCATTAAGCAAAACTAAATTTAGCGGCCTTCACAAAAGAGTGGCAAAAATAATGATTATATTACTCTGAAGAAGGAAAAGGAGGAGGAGGGCTAACACAAAGCATTTATCACATGGCAGTCACTTTTTCTAAGTGTTTTAACATTTATTAGCTCTTTTAATCATCACATCGAACTTTTGATATAGGGACAAATCATATACCATTTTGCAGATGCACAGAAAGTTTAAATGACAATCAGCAGCTGGTATGTGGCAGAACCAGTATTTGAATCCAAATGGACATAATTGTGTAAAATGTACTTGTGTTGCCTGTGGATTAAAAGCAGGTGCCACACCCTTCCTCCTTGCCATAGATTACTGCAGAAAATTAGCTAGTTCACTTGAATGGCTGAATCTGGTCTCTTGGAATAAAATTCAATAGTCGTGCTTATATTTAGGGGTCACATTTTCAAACATTATTAAACAAACAAGTCTACAGGCTATATGGTCTGCTTAAACATCTTCCATAATGGAGGTCAAATAATCAAGTAATTTCTATGAAGTTATCATATGTGCTGTATTTATGAATTCATTCGTTCACCTATTGAAAATGTAATATAATCCCTGGTTGAACAGATGTATTCCGAGTGTCACTATAATTTACTCAGTGAACCATCACTGAAGATGCTCTTTCTAATCTCCCAAGGCATTCTCTATTCATTTCTTTGTTTTTCTAAAATTTTAATCTCTAAAATTCTCTTCTTTATTTATTTGTTAACGTTCTTACCATCTGTCTCCACACCGAAAGATCTGTTTCGATAAGAATCTTTGTAACTCCAGGAATGTGCAGGAACAATATGTGTGCTCAGTATAATTTTTTTGAATTAATGCAGAAATTGGTAAAAATGGGAGTCACCAGTGAGTGGCACTCTATAAAATGTTCTAAGATAAAGAAATAAGAATTTAGCATCGATATTTTTATTTGTAATTATGAGTGACAGATCTTAATAATTGCAGGTGCAAAGGTATGACTACCTTGATTGGATAATGAAGGAAGGTATAAATATTAACCTATCGGCCTCTTTGAGAACTGATGTTAAGCCTTTTTAGGCTGTGTGCCAATATATAATACAAAATGTGTGTGTATGTATACAATATATCAATATATATACAAGGTAATATACATTGAATAATTAAATTAAATGCAGGTGCTCTGACTTTACCAATATTTCTAAATATAACATCATTTTATTGCTTTGGCTATCTGCTTAATTTCTGTTGGAATCAAAGTTTTACACTAGGTCGAATAATATTTCTTAACCATTTAGAATAATATATTTCTTAAACTAAATATTTCTTACAGAATAGCTAGCCGAAATTTAGGAGTCTACATGAATGAACCTCAAGAAAATATTTTTTAAATAAATTAAATATATATAAGCCCTGCCTCTTGGAACTTGTAAACTAATGGCAATATATTAAAAGATTGAATTTGGCAAAAGATGTATAATCAGTTTTTAATAATGTGCTTCCCAAGGAGCCAACTGAAAATTAGCTTAAATAGGATCTTGTGAACTGATAATGACACTTAAAATGAGATTTTTACAATAATTAATCTCAAACTGCTGGATTCCAGAATGAAATATTTTATTCCACTAAAAAATAACTTTCGCTTTTTTAGGCAGTTTTCAGTCACCACAGTGATTTAGGGTAAAAAAAAGAAAAAGAAAAAAAAAGAAAAAAAAAGTTTTTATTTCAGCATGTAAAACCCTGGTTTTGTATATGTATATAATATATGATTCATTTATGGATATATTTATATATTATACACACACATACTCTATGCACACACCCCACACGTATACATGTAGTAATGTTATTGTTTGGAATTACAGTGGAATATGTAAGAACAAGTCCATGAGAGATAATGTATTCCAGAACTAGGATCCCAATTATTAAAATAAATGCTTTTTGATACTTCTTATTGCTTGAGCTGTGCTTTTCCTGGGACAATTTAATTTTTAGCTTATACATTTCAAAGTTATTTCAGCTACAGCAAAATCCAGCCATTTGAAGATTTCTGATTAGATGATATAACTGTTCTGTTTAAAATGCCAAGATTTTTTTTAATATGTTTTTATTTGTAATAACAATATTATTTATTGGAAATCTACAATACTCATGTTTTTACTTACTGTTTATCAATGGCACACATGAAATTTTAGGAAAGATGTTATTCTTTCATTTGGAAATTCACTTATTTTATATTCATTAATGAAACTAGATTGTTTCATTATACTCTCAAGTCTGTATGAGAAATGAATTATCACTGGTTTTCCTCCTTAACCATGCAGGTCCTCCAGGTCTTAAAGGTGATCGGGGATCGATTGGCTTTCCTGGAAGTCGAGGATTGTCAGGACCACCAGGGAAGACTGGGAGGCCAGGTATTTTCTTTATAGAATATGTAAAATAAATACCAGATCATATTTTTTTCTCAGCTTCTTAGGTAACAAAAACAATGGTCATCATAGTATGAATAGTAGCACTCACATGCAGTTTATTTTCTGGTCTGAAACATTTGAAACATAAAAATTATTATCCAATTTTTATGCCCCAAAGGGAAATAGTTAAAAAAAGAAAAAAAAAGAGGATTTATAAACTTTGCACAACCATAAATCACTATGAAGAATGGTCTCTATCTTAGAACAAAGAGAATGGAAAGATTGGCAAAGAAAAACAAATAAGCAAAATATAAATTAAACCTTCAAACCCTGTTAAGTTACAATTAGAGAAATACAGATGGGCCTGAAATCCTATCTTATGCAAGATAAACTGCCTGCTATTATATATTAATACTTAATAATCAACATTATTCAGACCCTTTAAAGTTTACGTATGTGAAGACATTATTTCCATTCCTTTTGCCAGTAGCCCAAGACTACATTGTGAACTTTGCACAGAAATTTTAGAATTGCGCATGTTTATTTTTTCCTAATTTCAAAGTAAATTATGACCAAGAGAATAGGATCTTTAACATTGAGATTTTCTTTTTCTTTGTTTTAAACATTTTGTTTTGTTAAATAGTTTTAGGTTTATAGAAAAATTGCAGAGAAAATACAGAGTTCTCATATATACCACCTACCCACATACAGTTACCCCCTATTATTAACATCTTGCATTGGTGGGGTATATATGTTACAGTTTATGGACCAATAACAATGCATTATTATTAACTAAAATCCAGTCTACATTAGGGTTCACTCTTGGTGTTGCACATTCTATGGGTTCTGACAAATGTACAATGACATGTATCCACCATTAGAGTATCATACAGAATAGTTTCACTGCCCTAAACATCCTGCATGGTTCTGGTTTGTTCCATTTACTCATCATCATCCCTTGTCAACAACTGAGCTTTTTGCTGTCTCCAGAGTTTTGCCTTTTCTAGAATGTCATATAATTGGAGTCATACTATATGTAATCTTTTCAACCGGCTTATTTCACTTATCAATTTAGGTGAATGTGTATAAGATTCTGCATGCTTTTTTGTGACCTGATAGCTCATTTACTTATTTATTTTTTAATGTTTGGTATATCCTAGTATATACATGTACCACAGTTTATTTATCCATTTACCTATTAAAGTCCTTTATAATAGGTCACTTCCAAGTTTTGGCAATCGTAAATAAAGCTGCTTTAAGCTTTCATGTGCACATTTTTGTGTGTACATGAGTTTACCTAGAAGTGTGATCAATGCATTGCATGGTAAACCTGCATTTAGTTTTGTAAGAAACTGTCAAACCATCTTCCAAAGTGGCCATACCATTTGACATTCCCACCAGAAATGAATGAGAATTCCTATTGCTCCACATCCTCACCAGCATCTGGTATTGTCAATGTTTTGGATTTAGCAATTCTAATAGGTATGTTGAGGTGTTTTTGATAGTATCAGTGCTTATGTACTGTGTCAATGGCAATTAGGCTTGGAGAAATATTAGCTAAACACAAATAAGCAACCCATACTCAGTCTCCACCAGAAACCCAATTACCTGAACTGAATGATGTGTTTATGTACTAACAATCTCTAAAACTGTCTAGCTTTAATCAGGCATTTTTTGGCAACATGGGAAGAAGTGTTTGTCTATTAATTTGTTTGAAATGATCTGCATTATCTAGGAATTGCTGAATTTCCTCTATGAGCAATTCATATTCGATAGATAAATACATTTAAAAACCTTGAACTTAACAAAATTACAAAAGCTACTTATAGATTCTAAGATAATTCAAAATAATTCTGTGAATGAGAAAACATTTTATCTGTATTCTAAGTTTTAAATAGTGTATTAGTCTACTATCTATCTCCAATAGCTAGTCATTTACTGAACCTGGCAAAATCATGGTAAGATTTCATTTTGGGATCTTTCTGGTACAGTCTATTTGTAACTTCCTATTTACATTAAATCATAAAGATTAACTTTATAAATGAACATCACTATGAACTATAAGTAAATCAGAGTTACTAATTTGTCTTTCTAGAAAGTCTACACAAAAAGGGGAAAAATGGCAGAAATTTTAGGAACGTTAAGAAGGTCTTCCTCACAAGTCTGTTTTGCAAAACTTTTTTCCTTAAGTGGTCAGAGAAGTTGGGAATAAACCCAGAAGAGACATGTAACTGTAGCACAACTTATCTGATTTAGTGAGAAATAATTTATCTTATTTACTGAGTGCCTATGTTGTCTCATATACTGTGCTTGGAAGTAGGAATACAAGACAAGCTAGTTTCCCACTCTTGAGAAGTTTACTTCCAGAAATTTTCTCACAATGACCTCTCTAGTAAGGTTTAATCAAACAGATGACTTTATAAATATTTTGTGAAGTATCTGATCTTAGGTTGTTCATTTTGGGGGATTAAACATTTGTCAAAGTAGTTTGACCTTAAATTTCATGGCAGCACATAAATTATTTCATACCTAATGTTTTCCTTGCCCTATTGGAAAATACAGGGATAGCATAGTACACCTTTGTACTTTATAGAGATAGCATAGTACATATTTGAATCCTATACCTAAAGTCTACCTCTTCACTCCGTTCACCTGTGTCTCAGTTTTCTTATCTACAAAAGAAAGGCCAATAAGAGGATCCACATTTTAGAATTTCTGTAAAAATCAAATGGATCAATAGGTATCTTAAAGTGTTTCATACAATTTCTGTCACTAAGCAAGCTGTATATACATATCAGTTGTTAGTTATAGCTTATACAAGTTTTAATTTTTCTACTCTCAAACTCCTGGAGTTCAATAAATACTCAATTAGCCAAAGTACTTGAGAGAGCATTCATTCATTCATTCACCTAGTCAATAAAATTTCATGAGGGTTCACTCTGTGTTGGAGGTAAATATAGCATAGCCACTGCCCTCAAGGATGAGGTGACTGAAAAATGCAGAAACAATTAGATATAATGCAATGCGGTAAGTAATAAACATTTAGGAAGCAGGACAAAAACGCTATGAGAGTAGGGAGTGATTAATTCCGAACAGTAAGGCGTGTTACAGAGGAAGTAGTGTTAGCACTGGCCTAAAAGATACATAGAATTTCTTTATGTCTATGGTTCTCAAACTTTAGCTGGCATCAGAATCACCTGGAGGGTCTGTTAAAACAGCTTACTGGGCTCTACCGTTGGAGTTTCTGAGTCAATAGGTCAGGGACTGCACTCCCAGAAATTCATTCACAGCCCATCTGTGGGACACACTAATCTCAGGAAATGAAAAATAAAATAGATAAAGTGTAATGGGAATAAAAAGACAAGGCTTAGATTGAGGTGGAAGACATCAGGCTTCCTGGAGGAGGAAGAAAGTCACAGTCAAAGGAAAACAAAAAGAAAAAGATGAAAACGCCCAAACCAAGTTGCTTATACCTCAGTTTTGCCTGCTTTAGGAAAGTGAGACATTTAATGCTTTTGTACGTAATTTGAGATAATGTGTGCAAAGGACCTACCCAGAACAGAGTCAGGTTTGTAATAGGCCTTCTAAAATGATATAACAGTGATGTTTAATATAATAATAATTATTATGATCACCATCAACATTATAATTACATTTAAATTTCTATAGGTTGTTATAAATTGATATTCTAGATTACCTTGTGATATTCTGTTTCCATTAAAAGCAAGCATTGTGAATTGTCCTAATTATAAAAATGTTATTTTTTTATCTTTTTTTTTTTTTCAAGGAAATTCTGGACAAAAAGGACAGAAGGGGGAAAAAGGGAGTGGAAACATGCTAAGTAAGTTTATAGTTTCTTGTTTTTTTGTGTGCACTTTTGTAATAAACAAGCTTTGCTAGTAGTGGTCTGGGCTTGAAGCAAATGATGAAAAAGAACTTCAGCATTGAGCCATAGAGATTCTGTGGAAGTCAGTCACAGTTTTCTACAAAATGTATTAATTGGAGTAAAGTAAATAGATTATATTATACAACTCTTTGAATCTCATTACCTATTTGTATTTTGTTTTTAGGATGAGCACAATTTTCTAAAAATTCCACGTAGAAAATTGTTCAGTTTTCAAGCCAAAATGTCTATCTGCTGAAGAAAAATTGAGCTTATAAATAGAAACTATTGCAGCCTCCTTACCTACTAACTGAGCTAACTGAAATGTTACTTATAGGAATGTGGACAATCTAAGAACCCTGATGGACTAATTCTCAGATGGCTGTTGTTTTTTTTTTTTTAATTCATTTTGTTTTGTTTTTGCTAAGTACTTGAAATGCAGTGTTCTATAACCGAGACCTAAACTGCAACAGAATAGATTTCACGAACAAGATTTCTGTTTATGGAATGCATGTCATATTGTAATGTAGAGAATGTGTAAATTGGACCTTAAAAACTAAATATTAGATGAGATATCTTTAATTCATCATAACATAAGGTAATTGTGTCTAGGCCAAGTCCACAGAGATATAATGAAAAGATCATGAAAAGGAATGAGGAATCTATACTTGACTTAGAAATCAAGAGTTCCTTCCCTATATTCCCAGTAGTAGCTACATGCGATTTGTATGTGTGTCTTTGGGAATAGCTGATATTGCACACAAGAATCGTAATCTTTACCCACTACAGGTCTGTTTTAGACAGGTTATGGCAAATTCTTTAATATACCAAAAATCTAGCAGTTTTCAGTTGTAATTATTGTTTAAAAAATATAGTACCAATTTCTCCGCCTTAGCAAAAATAATTATTTTGACCTAATACTGTGTATAGATACTACCTTTAGACAATTTAGGGTCACTATTGTGAATGCCAGCCATTAAAATATGGTTTCTGTATGAAAGTGTGATGCTTTCCACAATCATTGCATTGTTGATCTGCGTTTGCCCTTAAATTGAGCAACAATGAGTACTCTGTATCTCCCCAAAGTGCTTTAGTGTTAGTTAACGATTATTAGTGTTTTCATTATTATATTAAGATAATAGAAACATTAGCACATCTTTTCTCCTTTGTGTCCATTTATTCTTTAAATATTCACTTTTGTCTGCTATATACTTTTTTCCACTTCTTCTCCCAGCTCCCTATCACTCCATTTATTTTCAGTTGAGCACCTAGTGTAACTCTACCTTCCCTATCCTCATGTTTTTCTCTATCTTTATCTCTACCTTTATCTTTATCTTCAGTTCTTCTTTATCTCCTTTTCTCCTTTCCTGAGCTACTTAACTTTGACTCTGGTTAATCTTGGCAAATAAGGGACTCCTTTATTTTGTAGTCTATAAACTGAACACCCACACTGTCTTCTGTTGCCTGAGGTTATCAAATGCTTTGAACATATTTTCAGATATGTTCAGAAATGTTTTCAGTTACAGGTTTTTTTTTTTTTTTTTTTGGCTGTTTGAAGATTATATGTATTCTTTCTTTGAGAAAGTATTAAGAGAGATATTTCTGTGTGTAAGTATAATAGTCTCCAGATACCCTTCATGCACCCGATGAGAGTAAATAAGTCTCTGATGTTTCAAAAAGAGAGAAAGAATCATATACACAAACATCTACACAGTATGGTTGCTTTTTCCTTATTTAAGTAAATATGCCCATGTGAGTACATATGGCTCTTTTTTTCTCTCAATGGGTACACATTATTCCATTATATAGCTATACTATAATTACCATAATATATCATTCAACCCACTAGTCATGAACACTTGATGATTTTTGTTTGTTTTGATTTGGCTTTAATAAACAATGTGACATTCAGCATTCTCATACATGATCTTATGGAAATATTTTTTAATAGAGAATTTTCTAGTAGTAGAATCGATAGTTCAAAAATGAAATGCATTTTACAATGTGATGGAGTCTTACTTCCAAAATGGCTCCAAAAAGATTGGAGCCATTTTGGAAGTAAGTACCAATTTATTCTCTATGAAAGTGACTGATTCTCCACATCTTAAATTAATTCTGATACATAAAAATTTATATTGAATTATTTTAATATACATTCTTTCATATTTTTCAGACATGATTTAAATATAATAAAAATAATGATTGATTTCTTCTTTTATATATGTGTCAGGACCAAGTACCGCTCCCTGATCATATTAGGGCAGGGCCCTTTTAAGATCAGGTGAGTTGGGCAGGACACCTTCTGCTACCATCTCATTGAAACGCCCTTCACCTCTGGACAAGTCATCAACACAACTAACTCCAAGATCTTGTGGCTTCTCCTAACAACCTTGCTTCCCGTATAGGGCCCAGCTTTCTAATGACTTCCTCTTCTGGTCTCGGGTACCGTTTTGGCTTCTGCTCTCATGCTAATACCTTTCCCCACTCTAGTACCCCACCATCGTTATCAACCCCTAGCACCCCTAATCAGGACACTTCCCATTGTGCTGACTGGCATGCTGCTCCAACCAATCCTCAGAGCCAGGCCATGAGCCCTCTGCCACCTACTCATCTAGTATCTTGTTGAACCAATTTAACCCAATGGGTTCTAGGAGAAATCTCATGGATATTGACTATATGTGAATTGTTTACATTCAAAAACACTATTCTCAACCAGTGATAGAGATAATATAAAAGGAAATCCATTCATTTATCCACTCATTCACTCATTCATTTAGTACATGTTCATTGCTCGTCTTGTATCTCCTGGAGCTGGACTTAACAGCTAATAATATGGGTATTGTGACTGAACTTAGAGAGCTAGTTGTTCCTAAAAGATATAGACATGTAAACAGGAAATTATACAATACAGCAGAGCTATATTGCGGGAAGAATAGAGTTCTATGGCTATTTAGAAGAGATTGAGATTAAGATTTTTAAATTCCTTATCATATTAAAAAGCTAAATTGATTTTGATTTGCTTAGTTTACTTTCTTGTGTCCTTATTCTCCAAATAACAGCATTTTTTTAAGTTTTAGAGTGAGGTAAAGTGGAGCTTGGACAATTCATTCGACAAAACAAAACTTGTTTTCTTAAATTATCTGGCCATTGCAAGCAAGAGTTTTTGATCATGAAAAAATAGTGCTCATAATTTTTTATTCTAAAAAGCTCTTTGTATTTTGTGCTTTAAATATTCAGTATAGATCTTGTAGGAAAAGAAATATTTCAGTGGAACTGGAGATATTTTGTGTAGGTGAAGAGCTGAAAATGAGAAAGGAGAAAAGACAAGAAAAAGCAGATCAAAAACAAAACAAAACAAAAGGAACAGGAAATATGTGGGATTCCATATTATTTTTTAGTATCTCTATTATTAGATCACATTTTCACAATTCTTTTTTCCTTCAAGGTTTGACACATAGACCCCAGCATTCACAGCATTAAGGTTCTAGTAGAATTCTAAGTAGTGTGTTTGTTTGTATCTTACCACTTCCATTCCCTTCCCTGTGAAATGAACATCTTAATACCTACCTCACAGGGATGTTGTGAGGATTACATAAGATATTGTGTATGTGAAGATGCTCTATAACAGTGGTCCCCAACCTTTTTAGCACCAGGGATCAGTGCTCCTATGAAAATCTAATGCCTGATGATCTGAGGCGGAGCTTAGGTGGTGATGCTAGCTGGGGAGTGGCTACAAATACAGATGAAGCTTCACTCAGTAGCCTGCTGCTCACCTTCTGCTGTGCAGCCCGGTTACTAGCAGGCCACAGATTGGTCCATGGCCCAGGGGTTGGGGATCCTTGTTCTATAAAATCATGAAGTGCTTTGAACATGTAAGGTATGGTTCACAGTGGTCTCTCTGATCTGGAACTGCTACTCCTTGTGGGTATAATGCAGACATTTTAAATCTATAATCAGAAGGAGTGAAAGCAAAATAAAAATTGAAGAAGCCAAATAAGTGTCATGGACAAAAGACTGCTGCTAGAGAGTAAGATAACATTTTATATTAGGTAGAGCAATGCAAGTGTGACCAGATCACAAATCAATTAGTCTGAGCCAAACAAAAGAGCATAAGTTATAAATAAAAAGAGCAGCTAAACAGAGTGCATGCCAAAGGCCAGAAACTGTCAACAGAGGTCAGAAAAACATGTCAGGCTAATAAAACAAGAGTCAGGGCTCTGAAAGACAAAGCTTAGACCCAAGACACTGCAGATGAGAAAGCTCTAAGAAGGGCTGAAATAAATTAGAGTTGTCAGTGGTACTCTGGGTCTGTACCTGCATGACACCAAAGTCTCCAGGGAAAAACAGGAGCGTGGAGAGGAATCAGCCAGTTATCAAATGGTCCTAAATATTAGCAAACCGGCAATGTTGATTAGCCGGTTAATGCAAACGTCTGGAGATTAATTGGATCTCTTTGTCCATGGTTTAATTGGATGTGATTTCCTACCCTACTTCGCACCGAGGAACAGGTAGAGCCTGGTGTCCTCTTCACTTGTCAGGACATCTTGGTCCATGTTAGCTGCAGAATGGCCCTGATCTCAGAGATTCTGGGAGACGGTTCCAGGGGATTCAGTTTGCAAGTTATCTGACACCCCAGAATACCAATAGATAAGACTATAACTAGGATGTAAATTTAGAGTATCTTATTTTGAAACTCATACAATTTGTCTTTTATTTGATTTTGACTGAGGATTCAGCTCAATCGTAAGTGAATTCTGGTCTTTCTCAAAGTATTCAATTGATGAAAGTAAAGCCTTCTCTAATTACCAAGTAATTATAATAATGAGCATTTAGATAACATTTGCTGTACACCAGGGGCTTTTGATGCATTATCTCATTTAATCCTCAGAAGAGCTTTTGAGGTAAGTACTATTATCATTCTCATTTTATAGATTAGAAAGTGAAGCGTACATCTAATA